TAGCGCGGGAGCTGCGTGGAGTTCCGATCATATGCAGATGTCCGTTCATACTACACGACCGAAAGCGTGTGTTATGTGACCATTCATGCAAACTGTAGCATCATGCTACATAAGACAATAAATAAGATTTATATTCCGCTTTTACTCAAAACTCACTTTAAACCACCATCGAGTGTTTGTAATAACTTCCGATTGCCGTCTAATGTGTGTTTTGGCCATGTAATGTTCCTGAAATTAAATATGTTATTACCAGCGATCATGGAAGAGAGAACACGGGCAGACAGCGCTGGAAGCTGCTAATGTTCATGCGTTTTAAAACGAACACGCATTAGTGTAAATGTAGCCTAACAGATGTGTAAACTGAAGACTATTTGAGCTTTATTAAAACTATTTGCACTGATTTATTGTGTTGGTTACATTTTGTTCCTTTGTGCAGTGGCTCTGGAGATGAGTCTTTTGAGTTTGTATAAACATCAACAAGCTGAAAAATAAAACCAAAGGTTTTTTTTTTAGATAATGTAATCTTGTTACAATTGATTTCATAAAATTGGTATTGAAAAAAGTATCGTTCAGGAACTGGTATCGAAGTCAAGGTATCGTATCGATATCGAAAATTTTTGAACGATACCCAGCCCTACACAGCAGTGAGTCTGCGACCCATAGACATCACCAGACTCTTGGTTTCATCCTTTAAAATGCTTTTCCAATCCTTTAATACAGCCAGTTTCAACTGTTGATTGTTTTGGGGAGTTTCTGCCTTTAGTCTTCTCTTTAGCTGGTGAAATGCATGCTCAATAGGATTTAAAGGGATAGTTCACCCAAAAATGAAAATTACCCAATGATTTACTCACACCATCCTAGGTGTATATGACTTTCTTCTTTCAGACGATAAACCGCAATCTCTAGCTTCCGCTAACTGTCGTATGCGTGTACATGAGAGTGGCTAGAGATTAAAGTTTATAAAGTTTTAAATATGGATATTTTTCTTACAAAAACGCATTTATGCACTTTTATTGGACCTCTATTGGACTATTAAATCTCACCTCCCATTCACTGCCATCATAAAGCTTGGAAGAACCAGGACAGTTTTATATACAACTCTGATTGTATTCGCCTGAAATAAGAAAGTCATATACACCTAGGATGGCTTGAGGGTGAGTAAATTATGGGGTAATTTTCATTTTTGGGTGAACTATCCCTTTAAATCTGGAGATTGATTTGGGCAATCTAAGACCTTCCATTTCTTTGCCCTGATAAACTCCTTGACAGAACTGCCAGGGTGTTTTGGGCCATTGTCCTGTTGCAATATGAAGCACTTTCTGATGAGTCTGGTGGCATTTTCTTGAACATTTGTAGCCAAGATGCTTTTGTACACTTCTGCATTCATTCTGCTGCCACCATCATTTTTGAAGTCATCAATAAAGATGAGAGAGCCTGTTTCAGAGGCAGCCATGCAAGCCCAAGCCATGACACCACCTCCTACAAATGAAGTTGTTTATCTTGAATCATTTGCGGTTCTTTTTTTTCTCCACACTTTTGCTTTCCCATCACTTAGATAAAGACTAATCTTTGTCTCATCTGTCCATAAAACTCTGTTCCTGTGTAGCTTATGCTGTGGAAGTCTCCTGTGAACAGTAGATTGTCAGACCATCACCCCAGCTTTCTGGAAGTTGTTGGTGATTTTACAGACACAAATTTTAAAGTTCTTTTTCACAGATTTTATGATTTGTCTCATCAACTGCTGTTGTTTTTCTCAGCCGACCAGGTCGTTGTTGGCTGCTGAAGTTGCTGGAGGTTTCTTTCTTTTTTTTAAGACTGTTGATTTCTCCATGCCCATTGTTTTTGACATAGCTCTAACTGAGTTCCTCTTTTCTTTTAGCATCCAAATTGCTTGCTTTTCTCTCAAAGACAGCTCCCTCGTCTTCATCCTGGTTAGTGTGTGTCATCATCAAATGCAAGACTCAGAATGCAGAAGCAATGGATATAACAGATACTACACATTCCCTCCTTTTAATATCTGAACAATTAATGCAACAGGACACAGCTGATTACTTAAAGACAATTGTCCTAATACTTATGCTCATATCAGATAAGGGGATGAAACTCTAAAAGTGCCGATCTTCTTAGTTGGTAAAACGTGTGTAACACCCAATAATAAACTTCATTCTATACTTTTGTCTCATATTCATCTTTTAATCATATTTACAGATTTCTTGACTCCACAGAAAACAGCAGTTCCCTTTCAGTCAGTCACGTTCGACGTTACGTCAGTCGTGACTGACGAATTGGGATCTCGCCCGAGAGCCCAATCTGTTTGGTCGCTGGGGGCCTGGTTAGCGTGCCCCAGGCCATCTCGCTGGCTCATGTGAACCGTCAGACTCGGCTATGCGATTCAATTCGCCCGGCGCCCTCCCAAGTCCTCTGTGCTGGACAGGGATGCTCCTGTCTTGCGTGCAGGGATCACGGTCCCGCTGGCGAAGGACGCGATACAGCCGGTCCCTCCAGCCGAGATGAGGTCAGGTTTAAATCAAAACAAAATTTGGGATAAAATAAAATCAGACTCTAAAAATGTATTTTTTGTTAAACTTTTAATAAATTGTTGTTAAATTATTTTATTTTTTTCAGTTGATTAGACATGTTTTTGATTACTAAAATGTAATTTAACCATTAAAAATAAAACGGAAAAACACAGTTTGCGAAAAGAAATAAAACTGATTTCACAGGGCCCTACAGTTGTCAGAAGTGCTGCAGTTATTAGGTTTTTCTTTAGCAGATGTTTACATCCCATCGATCTGAATATTATTTATTCACCAAAGCCAATTTAATTCTCATTTTGTGGTTTGGAGAATGATTATTTTAGATATAGCATATGCAGAGTTTGTCCTAATTGAGCATTTAGAAAGTTATTACAGCTTTTCGACACATGTTCTACTTTACAGAGAGAATGGGTGTGCTTAGCTTGACTTTTCCCATCATCCTCTTCCTTCCCTGGGCCTCGGCTCAATGGAGAGCAAATGGCTCTTTGCTGGTGGACAGGAGGATGACAATTCTGTTGGCTTGTCTGAAATATGATTGGAGTAGCAACACACGACTGAAATATTGATGAGTGACTGAGGGGTCCAGATGGAGCTGCTACCTGCTGAGTGTTATGAGCACAGACACACGTCAGCTCCCATCATCCATGCCCCATCTCTCCTGACAGAGACTCACTCCTTAAGAGCAGTGTGTGTGTGTGTGTGAGAGATGATCCGGTTAGAAGCCCTCAAGAACAGCCACACAACAGTGAACCAATAACCTTGTCAGTAGGAGAATTAACACAAATCGATAAACATGTATGTAAGCATAAATACAGAGTTCAAATAGGATTTCAAATGACAGGAACAGTTGGAAAAGAAGATTCAGCTTAAGATTTTCCCCAGTCAAACCTTGGAAATATGTAAATGTCTTGTGGTGCAACCAAAATGCATAAACATACAAGAGGCAAAAAGAAAAAAAAAAAAGGTCTAAATTAAGGTCTAAATGTCTTGTGGTGCAACCAAAATGCATAAACATACAAGAGACAAAAAGAAAAAAAATAATAATTTCATTAGTTCAGGTTGTAAAATGTCAAATGGTCACTCGTATGCTCACCAAGGCTGCATTTATTTGATCAAACATTCAGTAAAAAAAAATTTTCAAAATATTATCATTTAAAATAACTGCTTTCTATATTAATATACAGAATCGCAGAAATGCAAGATACAAACTCGCAATTCAGATTTTTTTTTTCTCGCAATTGCGAGAAAAAAATATAAACACAGTTTATATCTCGCAGTTCTGACTTTTTTTATTGCAATTCTGATGACTTTTCTCAGAATTGTGAGAGAAACTCACAATTTGCGAGTTATAAAGTCGAATCCTGAGGAAAAAAATACTATTTTCATACATTTGCAATTTTGTATCTCACAATTCTGACTTTATAAAACTTGATTGCGACTTTATTTCACGCAATTCTGACCTTATTACTCGCAATACGAGTTTATATCATGCAATTCTAAGAAAAAAAGTGCATGAAAAAAAGTCAGAATTGTGAGAGACAAAGTCGCAATTACCTTTTTTAATTTGTATTAAATGGCGGAAACGGGCTTCCACAGAGAACAGCATTTGTTTGAAAAAAATGGGATTTTTTTTTGTAACAATGTTAAAGTCTTGTCACTTTTAATCAATTTAATGCATCCTTGCTGAATAAAATTAATTTCTTTGGGAAAATATTCTTATTGACCCCAAATGTTTGAACGGTAGTATGTATATGTGTGTGATTTATTTAATGGTTCTCTATCTCCTCAGGTTCGCTGTCTACTGGTAACGGTGAGTTTGGTGACTGGAACACCTTCTCTTCCACCAGTCCTCCTGCTGTCACTGCTCAGTCTGCCATCCCAGACCTGTTCAGTGACATACCCGCTCCAGCCGCACCGGTGCCCACATCCACCCAACCGCATTCCGCTGACCTCTTTGACCTGATGGCCCCCAACAACAGCAGCCTCAGCGCATCCCAAAGCATGCCCTTCAACATGTGCCCGCAGAATACAACCACACCTCTGTCCAGATCACAGGTAAACACCGGTTCAGTTCAGAAAGGCTTCCCAGAACCACAGATTTGCCAACCTGTATGCATTTTGCGTAGCAGGTATACATTTTGACCTCAAAGTAGGTGCGATTTGTGCACCTGCAGTGTTGTCAACAAAAGTAGTAAATCTAGTTTTTCTTTTTTTCTTTTTGGACCATGTAATGTTCAGTGATAATGACGTAGCTGGACCTTCCTGTGAAACCACAGATGTCTGGCTGATGACGTATGCAGGACTTCAGGAGTGACGATCGCATTTAAGTTTAGAACAAGTGTGTTCTATATTTTGGAAGGCTGCTCATGAAATGTTGCCATGTTCACTTATTATAAGTGATGCTTTTAAAGCATCTTTGGGCTTGTTGTTTGGGCTCGGTTATTAAAACGATGCAGAGTTAACTACTCTCGTGTGTCTTTTGCTTGTTCAGAATGCAGTGGAGTACACCGGAGTTTGTCATAGCATTCGCACATACATGCATATGCACATATATACTGTATATATAGTATGTATATACAACTGATGAATTCTACACGGTTATGAAACTGAACTGAATCAATACTGGACTAACTTGAGCTGTATAATGACACTCTTGACTTGTTAGAGCTGCTTTACAGCAGAATTTGATACTATTGTGAAGCTGCTGTGAAACAATATATTGTATAAAGCGCTTTAGAAATAAAGTTGACTCTCTGACTTGGCTTGTATGCATATTCAGTATTTAGTGTGTGTGTGTGTATATTATATATATATATATATATATATATATATATATATACTGTACATATACACACATAGTATATAATTAAAATATATGTGTGTGTGTGTATGCGTGTGGCCTTAGTCTACTCAGTAAATGAGTGCGGCATTTCCCAAATGAAACAAAAGCGCTGTTAGTTTTGAATGATGTGTATAATGTAGAGAACTGTGTTTAGAGTTTTGCAAAAAGTTTAAAGCACGTAATGCGCTTGTAGTTTTGCAGACTTGGTCTAAAGATTGGGCATATGAGTGAATGGTTTCACGGAGTGGGCCTCAAGTACCACTTTTAGTGTCTAAGCAGTTTTGAAAAACTGTAAGACATACATTGTTCCCTGTGATTACAACTCGGATACACTTATTATTATTATTTTTTTTTTTGTAAATGCAGTTGTCACTACCTGAATATTTCAGGTAATTCGGAGTTAATCCGGTTGTAGAATGTGATTGTTACTCTAAATTACTGAATTGTGTGTGTACAGAACAGGATTAAGCTCTAAAATGTGAATTTAGCTGCAATGTTTATGTGGCCTTCGTCTACTTAAACCCGCCCCTCGACTCATGTTTATCTGCCTCCACTTTTGAGTGCAATGTCCACATCTCAAAATCTCTAATCAAGAGCTAATGAATAGAACCCAGCTTTAATGACTGCAAATTGAAGTAGTGCACTCAAATATATTCTCGCCGTCGTAGGAACAGTAGGAACAGCCGTCGTAGGAACAGAATAATACATGGTGAATCCGTTTGAAGTTCAGAGGCGGGTTGAGTTAAATGGATAAATGTCCAAGATCCATTTTTTTCCTTCATGGAACTATTATGAGTGGTATTATAATCAAACCAACATTTTCTTACAAAAAGGATGAGTCACCTAAAATATTAATATTAAAACGTGCTGCAGTACAGTCAATATACTGTTCAGTATTCTCTTATTGTAAATCGTCATATTAAATTATCAATTTAAAATCTATGCTGTAAATTGAGTTTAATGGGGTATATTCTGTTGTAATTATAAGATATAATTTACAGTAATTAACTTTTTGCTCTTTCTTTGTCAGACAATAGGGGGTCCGTTATTTCCCCAGCAGATGGGACTACAGAAGTCAGGCGGGAAGGTATCAATGCCTGCCACCTGGTCAGACCCAAGCGTGAACATCAGCCTGGATTTCCTGTCGGCAGGCCTGAACCCTCCCAAACCCACACAGCCCACACTCAACACCATGATGCAGCAAGGTTAGAAATCCTAAACAAACTGTCGATATTGTAGTTATTCTTTCTACCCTCATAGTTATCTCCATGATTCAGGTCAGATTGTCTTGCCTTGAGTTGTGAAAAGTTTGTTCCTTGAGGTAATCAACAATAATCCTGCTACTTATGGCGTGGTACGACTCGGCTCGGTTTGCGTTTCCACTGCAGTTTAGTATCGCATTAGAGTGGGCGGGATTATTCACATGTGGTTATAGTTGCGCCGCCTCTACTGTCGCGACTCCTGAAAAACATTTTCATTCCGCGTCGCCCCATCAAGCTCTCGCTGGATCCGCTCCTCTGCTATCAACGAGAGGAACGTCTGTACTTCCTCAACAGACAACGAAACAGCCACTTTTTGGTTGTTAAAAAAAGGTGCGCTCGTTCAAAACAGTTGCGTTCGATCCTTCGCTGGCTGTGCTGATTTATATCTAGCGGTTCTGTTGTGTTTGTGTCGCAAGTTCAGTGACGCAGATAGTGACGATTCTCTCCGGCCAATCCGTGATCAGCAGAGTTTACACGTCACGTTTTGGTAACGGTACGGTACACTTGGAACCTCAACCGAGGTGGTACTAAAAAAAAAAGTACCAGGTACTGTACCCAGTGGAAAACCCCCCAAAAGTGAACCGTACCAAGCCATACCATCCAGTGGAAAAGCGCCATTAGAATGCTGTTACAGTCATAAGCGATTGCATGTATTATTTATTCATATTTTAATAGTAATATATTTTCCTTTTAGGTGTCCAGCCACCATTGAATATGGTCACCCAGAATTTCGCCGGAATGACACTGAATGCCCCCTCAGCGGCTGCTCCCAGACCAGGAGTGAACCCCATGATGGCAGGGGGGACCTTGAGCATGGCAATGCCTCCTATGGCGACGGGCACTGTGGGAGTGGGCTCTGTGGGTACTGGAGGAATACCTGTCAATCAAGGACTCATGGGCATGAATATGATGCCTGCTGGAATAGGCCTGCAAGGTGCCCTCGGCATGCCCAGCATGGGGATTGGCCAGGCCATGAACCCCACCATGGTGCAACCTAAACAAGATGCCTTTGCAAACTTTGGCAACTTTGGGAAATGAATGGTGATCCACTCCAAGAGAGTTAACGGTCCAAATACACCTTCTCAAAAGAAGGAGCTGCATCCAGTAAAATGGACAAAACTGACAAAACTAGCCCGTGTCACGACTCTTCAATCATTTGTCCTTATTCGTTAACAGATACAGAGAAACAAAACAAACACACAAGAATCTGTTTTTCTTTCATGTGGGGTTGATAATCGAAGGCTGGATTTTTTTGTAAATGGTGCAAAGCATATTATATACTTTTGAAGGAAAAAAGATGACTCCGTGCAGTTTGGTACATTTTTCCATTGTCTGTTTCATAACTCAAACGTCATAGACTTTGTTCCCATCATGGCCCTGCTCACTTTTCAAATTGTGAAAACACAATTCAAAACTTCAAAACTTACCTCATGATTTGCATTTTTCATGCTGTGATTCAAAGGGGTTGATTTGTAAATATCGTGGTGTGCAAAAAATAAATTATTTTACTCACTTCTCAGATGGTATAAGATGGAACAATTTACCACAGGTCCTTAATATTTACTCATGTTTTTGTTTTTTGGTTTTGAATCTTTAGTTTGTTTCTCCTTATATTCCGTTATCACTCCAGCACCTGTTATTTAGATGAATAGGGTCAACTTTTTATTAACAGGCTATATCTGTAGATATAGTTGGAGTACTTTTGTGTAGCAAGCTGCCTGACCGTAATTTGAAGTGTGCCTGCCTGTGAAATGGCCACCATTTTAAAGCAGCACTATGTAACTTTTTCTGTGTTCAAAATGTGCAAAATGTATATAATGAGCGAGTACATCATGAATTCATCTTCCAAACCGCGTTTTTGTCTTATTCCGAATCACTATGGTACACTTATAATAAGTACTTATATTTGGACTATTGTAGCCTGGTCGGGTCGTCACCGCTGCGGAGTAACACATACCTGCGTGAATCGCCATAGACATAAACTTAGAGAAGTAGCTCCGGTTGGAATGTTCTTCCGCGGGATGTGTGCAGTTCTGTTTATTAACTGCTAGAGCGCCAAAAGTTACATAGTGCTGCTTTAATAACACAGATGTGTTTGAAGGTTATTAACCGTACTTGATGAATCCAAAACGGTCTTAGAGAGGATGTGTTACATGAAAAGAGAAAGCCATTACATTCTTGAATGATATGGAAGGGGATAGTGCTGCATTTGTTCATCTAATGTGAAGATTTCTAGGGGTCTCTTCCCCGAATTTGAGAAACATTTGTCATCTGAAGCTGCACAGATCAGTGCTTTGGTTGTAGCAGGAGTAGTGTTACACTTTTCTAGTAACTACTTGAATTGGTATTTATAATGCCTCATAATAGCAGTCATATCTGTTATATTCTTGCATGTGTGTCGATTTTACAGTTTCAAGCATTGTTGCGGGTCAGTGTTAAATTTATGAAATGTCTGTCACAGGATTATATGATGGCTATGGAATCGATGAAGGCATTGTGAACCCCAAATGAAGTTTACTTTTCTTCCTTTTTTTTTTTTTTACATTTGGTTTTGTCCATTTTCTCATATGCTGCTTAACAATGGGCCCTCCATCAGGCACTGAGGCATTATCTTCAAAATGACCAAATCTTTATTTTATTACTATTTAGCTTTATTCCATAGTGGTTTAGTTTCTTATTTTAATACTTAACATTATACAGAGAGATCCTGTGCATATATACAGTGTTCTAGACATGGGTGACTCAAGTAAACACTTCTTAGTTTATGCAAATGTAATGAGAAACATGCAATCGAGCGCCTCTTTCATTATAGTTTCTTTTCAGATTTCAGTTTTTGATTTATATTGTACTGAGAAACTTTGGTTAACATTAAACTATTTCATCAAAAGCTGTCTTTGTGACTTTTGTCTACTTTTAGCATTCTTATTTGTGGCTAGTTATGTCAAATGAATATGATATTGTTTATAAAAGTGTTTCTTGGTTCTCTGTCTTTAAACTTAAAATCTTAAACTTAAAAAAATGTCATTTTTATGAATTAGTAGTGTTGCAATTCAAAGAGGTGATTTCAATAGTGCCTCTATTGAAGCCATGTTTATCAAAAATCTTATAAAATCTAATTAAAATAATGTAGATGATGATGAGCTCTGATTTGAAAGTAGAGAATCTGATATTGACAACTTATCTTCAATATCTTGGCATCTCAATCTACTACTAGATCCACTTTTCAAGATAAGATGTGGGCTGCATTCAATAATGTCTTGTCATGTGGCTCCCTCCAGTGTCGACACCAGGGAGAGTCTGCATCATGTTTGATATTTATGGCCTCTAAATTATAAACATAAACAAAACTTTTCTGAGAGAGAGAGAGAAAAAAAAACATGTAATACAATCTTCTACATGCCTTTTGTCATTTGATTGATAGTTCATGCTTTTTTTTGTAGTAAAAGTCCTTTTAGTGTCATTTTTATAAAATGTCCATCTTCAGGTTGTGTTGCTTCTGCTGTGAAATCTTTACTGATTTTTCATAAAGTAAGTATTTCAAGATCAGAGATTTCAAAAGTAATATTTCAAGATTCAACGTTTACTTAATGAAGCAACTTCGATTTACTTGGATATCCGTGCATCGTTTTTCAGAAAAATGTTCAAACGTAAATATGACAGATATGATCAGAGTTTTGAGGAACATTTATTTGTACATCTCTCAGTCATCACTGTATTTCATTGCATTGTATGTTTTGCCTCCCCACGATTAAATTTCATCTCATGACAGTTATTGGGAGATATAGAGTGACAACTGATATGTATATGCATTTAATGTAAATAGTCTGTAAATGTAAAAGTCCCCCTCACCACCCCCCTTTAGAAAGTCAAGGTGGCAAACCTGACTTGACCCTAAAAGTAAGGCTGATAAAATGTTATATATTATATATTCTACTATTGATATTGTATATTATTATAAATATTTGATTCATATTTATTCTAATTTGAAGGGCTTTGGTAACATATCTGTGAACATCAGTGGTTCAACCGCAATTATACGAAGCTACGAGAATACTTTTTGTGCACAAAAGAAAAAAAAATTACGACTTTAATTAATGACAGAATTTTCATTTTTGGATGAACTAACCCTTTAAAGAGTGGGAAGGCCTGAAAACGGAACCTGGAACGTCTAAACCTTCTCCACCATCCGTTTCAAGCGTCAGCTCCCAAAGTGTGTCCGAAAAGTAAGAAAATATACTCCTAATGTAAGTTTTTTTTTTCTTTTAGTTCTCCTTTTAGTGATTGATATAACCCCTTAATCATTGCCTGTGTTGTATATGGTGTCCGTGAATGTGGGGGCGGAGGCATCGAGATAGGGATGTATTTGTTTTGGTGATTTCAAATATCTACAGCGTTTTCCAGAAATTGCTTACTGCACTTTTATTATCCTGGACTGGGTGGTTAAACATGATATGAAGCCAAATTACTTCCCACCCTAAAAACATCACAATGCTTTTGTTAGCCAGCATTAACCAGGCCAATGGAGATGCAACAAGGTGTTATCAACACACATCAACATCTTCTCTCTGCTCCTCACTGTAGCTTCTCTGCAAACCTCCACATGACTGGGCCGCAGTGCAACCGAGCAGAGTGAGCTTTGGAAACCTCTTCCTAGTATTTGTAATGTGATTACAAATGAACAGAAACGATTTGTAATGCCGCACATTTCATATGCTGAAAACAAAATTTTATTCCATCCCATGTTCAAGCTATTCTAGCCATCTCACTGACTTCATAAGCCACTTTGAAGATCTGAGGCATGAGGCATCTGTCTTGAATCACGAATATTCCTTCCTTAATTAGAAGGACAGTCTTTTCATTAGTTCTGGACTTCTGGGTTCTTGTTTGTTCACTTGACAGGATTGCACTAGAGTGTGTTACCATTGTGATTTTTCTTAGTAATAGATTTTTCAGTTCTTGCAACAACCACAATAGTTTTTGAGGTTGTATCACAAAAATGTTTGGAATTCCCTGCCTTAAAGAGTGTTTGCATGTTCATAAACAATGGAAATGAATTAAACAGATCCAGGATCTGTTATGAAACGGGTCAGGCTCTGAATTCTAATTGGATGAGGCATGCGGGCAGCCAAGGTTCTCATTTCTTTTGATCAACACATTTCCAAGATTTGTTTTACAGTCATGTCATTACTGAAAAATAATTTTTTAAAAGAGCCATTTTTAGCCAATTATTTCAAAACAAAGAATAAAAAATCATATTGACTTTAGAAATGGACATGACTTTTTGGGATTGTATTAATCTCAGTTAAAGGTCCTTCATTACACTGTAATTTCTATTTGTATAATTAAATGTTCATTATAAAAATATTGCTACATGTGAAGAACTATTATAAACATAAGCCATTTTTTATATGTATTGTGTAAAAAATGTTTAAAAATCAGCTGTTACAGCTGTTGCACTATTTCCTCAATGGCCAACAATTTTGTCCCTACACTCTAAAAAATGCTGGGTTAAATACAACCCAGTGCTGGGTAAAAACCCAGCATTTTTTAGAGTGTAATGAGGTTTAATATGAAGTTCATTTATTTATTTACCAAGGAGACAGTGGTGTCAGTGAATAGTGCTTGAGATGAAATATCACAGATGTGTGTGAAGAAAACTAAAAAGGCAAGTTAAATACAGTACTAACATAATATTTGTATTTGTGTGTTATTTCCGATCAAACTAATATTATTTAATTGTGTGCATTTAAGATACATAAAATCCCTCAGAGGACATACAAGTTGGACATCTTATCAAAACGTGTAAAATGTAATTTACATTACAGAATGTTATCATATTATCTATGACCACTCTTGGACATTAATAGTTATAGTGTAAATTAAAGCTGCAAGCAGCGTTTAAAGGGCCCTCGCACCCGGAGCCACCTCCACCCAGTGAACTTAGGAAAACAGTGAACGGTGGGCAATATGCATTTAAAGTGGTAAATATAGGAGGAATATGACAAAGTCCTATGACTATTACTGAATATTGGCATGTAGATGCGATACGTTTATGTAGATACGTTTATCAAACATGTGAAGTTTGGTGCAGATTGAACATGGTTGAGTTAGTGTAAAACATGACATATCCTGTTGCAACAGCTGGCGCTATAAATTACAACTGAATTTTGGCATGTGGCCAGAACTTTTATCAAACAT